AATCTTACTTTGGTGAAAAAGAAGATCAAAATACGCAACCAGAAGACAACAAAGTCAAAGCTCCTACATCCAAAGCCTCCAAGAAAAATATGAATCAGTCCCAGGCCTTGGAAGAGCTCGAAAGGGATTTTGAGAAGCAAGTAAGGGAAGTAGAGGAAAAACTGAGAGTGATGCAAGAAAATCACGAAAAACAAGTCAACAGCCTGCTAAAGCAGACCCAAAAAAATACTGAAGAAAATCACACCTTAAAAAATAGCCTAACCCAAATGGCAAAAGAGATTCAAAAAGCCAATGAGGAGAAGAATGCCCTAAAAAGAAAAATTGGCCAAATGTAAAAGGAAGTCCAAAAGCTTACTGAGGAAAATACTTCCTTAAAAATTAGAATAGAGCAATTGGAGGCTAGTGACTTTATGAGAAATCAAGACACTGTAAAACAAATCCAAAAGAATGAAAAATTAGAAAACAATGTGAAATATCTCATTGGAAAAACAACTGACATGGAAAATAGATCCAGGAGAGAGAATTTAATAATTTTTGGACTATCTGAAAGCCATGATCAAAAAAAGAGCCTAGACATCATCTTTCAAGAAATTATCAAGGAAAACTGCCCTGATACAGTAGAACCAGAGGGCAAAATAGAAATTGAAAGACTCCACCGATCTCTTCCTGAAAGAGATCCCCAAAGGAAAACTCCTAGGAATATTGTAGCCAAATTGCAGAGTTCTCAGGTCAAGAAGAAAATATTACAAGCTGCCAGAAGGAAACAGTTCATGTACTGTGGAAACACAATCAGGATAACAAAAGATTTAGCAGCTTCTACATTAAAGGACTGCAGGGCATGGAAGATAATATTCCGGAGGGCAAAGGAGATAGGATTACAACCAAGAATCACCTACCCAGTAAAGCTGAGTATAATCCTTCAGGGGAAAAAATGATCATTCAGGGAAATAATAGAGAACTTTCAAGCATTCTTGATGAAAAGACCGGAGCTAAACAGAAAATTTGACTTTCAAATACAGGACTCCAGTGGAACATGAAGAGGTAAACAGGAAAGAGAAATCATAAGAGATTTATTAAGATTGAATTGTTTACATTCTTGCATGGAAAGATGATATTTATAACTCATGAGAGCTTTGTCAGTAGTAGGGTAGTTGGAGGAAAAAAATTATATGTATGTAGATGTAGACAGATAGATAGAGGGCACAGGGTGAGTTGAAGATTAAGGGGTTGTATCTGGAGAATAAAATTAAGGGATGAGAGAGGATTATACGAGGTGAAGAAGAAAGGGAGAGGTAGAATGGAGTAAACTATCTCACAAAAAAACCCAGAAAAGTATCTTAAAGTGGTGGGGAAACGGGGGAAGGTGAGAGAGAATGAGTGAATCTTATTCTCGTAGGATTTGGCTTAAGGAGGGAATAACAAACACATTCAATTGGGTATGGAAATCTGTCTTACCCTACAGGAAAATAGGGGGGAGAAGGGGACAAGAGAGCAGGCAGATGACAGAGAGGAGGGCAGATTGGGAAAGGGTGTAATCAGAAGTAAATACTTCTGAGGAGGGACAGGGTCAAAAAAAAGAATAGAATAAATGGGAGGGCAGGATAGGATCAAGGGAAACAGAGTTAGTTTTTCACAACATGTCTACTATGGAAGCATTTTGCATAACTGCATATGTACAACCTATATGGAGTTGCTTGCCTTTTCCATGAGGGTGGATGGGGAGGGAGGAAGAGAGAAAATCTGAAACCTAAAGTTTTAAAAACATATGTTTAAAAAAATGTTTTCACATGCTATTGGGAAATAAGAAATACAGGAAACGTAGTACAGAAATCTATCCTGCCCTACAGGAAAATAGAAGGGGAAGGGGAGAAGAGATAGAAGAGAGGACAGACTAGGGGAAGGGATATCCAGAATCCATGCCATCTTGGGGCGGGGGAAGGGTTGAGATGGGGTGAAAATTTGGAACTCAAAAACTTGTGGAAGTGAATGTTGAAAACTAAAAATAAATAAATTTATGTTAAAAAAAGAAAAAAGAAAATTGGGAGCTAAAATAATAAAAAAAAAATTAACTAGTTGAGTTTCTATGTCATTTAGAAAAATAAAATTAAAATTAAATACAGCAACCCTTCCAAATAATCTAAATCTAGTGGAAACACCACTTCAGCATAATATTTCAGATATAGAAATTATTTGTGCTTAGACAATTTTCTCTGAACACAGAATGAGAACTATACAGAGAAGTCTCATCAGGGCAGATTTTGATCTTAAATTTATCATTGTCATGAGGATTATGATCATTTTATATCATGGACTAGCTCAAGTATAAGGATAAAAAAAATTTGCAGGTCTCAGAAAGTTAGAATTATCTGCCTGGTTTCTATTCTTAGCTAAGATATTGAAGGTAGTGTATGCCTTGAGTATGACTGAGCATTTTCATAATACACACATATAAAGAAAATCTTTAACATTCAGGCTAAGTGCTTGCTTTGTATTGGCATTATGTCTGTTTTGTACCTTTTGTGTGGGTACCTTTCTTATTTTGCTCTATGGCCTATTAAGTGGTGTAGTAGGTCTTCCATTATTATTATTTCTGTCCTTATTTGCTTTTATTTTTAAAATATTATCATGTGCAACTGAGAAATGTGTTTGTGGTACATGCTGTAGGCTATTTGAGTTGGTAGTAAATGACACAATGTATAAAGTGCAGCTTGATTTTGTAATAGTTTTTGCTTCAAGAAATTTATTTTATTTATTTTATTGTTTTTAAACACACATTTCCTCCATTTAATGTTATGCTTTTCTTGACTTCTATTGCATAGTATCCACATGTTTGCAGCACCGGTTCTCAAATCATCTCAGGACCCACGTAGGAGAGGGGATACATCATTTTTTTAATTGCTTACTTATTTTTTACATTTTGCATTCCAAGTTGTATCTCTCCCTTCCTCTCTAGTTCTCCTTCAAGAAGGCCAACTTTTGAGATAGATTTTAGGTGGAACAATAGAATATATACATACATTCATACACACATACATATATATATATATATATATATATATATATATATATATGTGTGTGCATATATATGTCAGTTCTTTCTGTAGAGGTGACTTCATCAGTCTTTCATAGGCAATTTCAACATTATTATTACTCAGAATAACTTAGTCATTCAAACATAGTATTTGAACCACATTTTTGGTATTATGTTCAATGCTCTCTTGTTTTTTTCCTCACTTCACTCTGTATTGTTTCATAGGAGTCTTTTCATGTTTTGTTTTTCTAAAATCAACCTTTATGTCATTTCTTACAACACAGTAATATTCCACTACAATCATATACCATAACTTATTTGGCCATTACCCAATTGATGGACATCAATTTGATATCACTAAGAAACCTGCTACACACACACACACACACACACACACACACACACACACACACACACATTTGTTTCCTTTTTCCCTGATTATCTTGGGAAATAGATTCAATAGTGATATTGCTGGGTCAAACTATACTGATAGTTTTATGTCTCTTCAAATGTAATTACAAATTGCTCTTCAAAATGGTTGGATCAGTTCAAAATTCCACCAACAGTATATTACTATTCCAATTGTTTGACATCCCCTCCTACCTTTGTGCTGTCCCTGTTCTCTCATTTTAGCCAATTTTATAGATGTGAGAAAGTATCTCATAGTTGTTTTAATTTGCATTTATCCAATCAAGGAGAGGATACTTTCTTAGCATATAGCAGATACAAAGACCCCAACTCATTTAAAAAAGTTATTTGCTCTCTAACTGGAGGTATAAGAGAGAGCCATTTCATGATTACTCTTCAGAGGGCAAAATTACCATGATTGTGGGCCATTTTATACATGTTTAATGTAGATTTGTGCTTAATGATATGATGTTACAAAATGTTATGGGATAGGACCATTGTCCCAGTTTCTCACCCTCCCACTTAATGGGGTGAAAGATGTTAGAATGAGACTCTATTCTCCCAAACATTTAATCATAGCAGGTTCAGCTCATGAGCACATCAGTTTGGCAACCTGGATCAGCATATCCTTGCAGATTGAGTTACTGGGAACTTGATTAAAATCAGAGTTTAGCACTAATTACTTTATTTCAGTTTTAGAAAATTTGGCATGAAAGATATAACAAAGACACTCTGGGTATGAAACTTTCTCTTGCCTGAAGGACAAATCACACGACTGAAGCATCAATACCAGTGTATTATTTATTTATTTATGGTTTGAGATCAGGCATCTGGGTGCTCAATAGATACTGAGGAGTCAATCATTGCTTATTTCATAGATGGCAGTGAGAATGTATAGTGGCAATCTTAGAAGTCAATTTCAGTATGAGAAGGTCTCTATCTGTAATCTCTGATTGGGTTGTGGCTAGACAAAATTTCTTCCTAGAACAAGCTTTGAGGCACAATTCTTGGTATCAGAAAAGCTGAGTCAAGTAATTGCTGATTTTTGAGGTAAAGAAGGGGTGAGATGAATTAGTAAGGAAATGCAACTGTACTCAAATATTTAGCTCACAGGTTCATACAGGAGACACTAAGAATATTCTACTTAAATTAATATGAAACTAGTAGGAGCTACATATCGATGCTAGAGGCTGATTTATTTACAAAGTTAAGAAAAATATTTCTTATCAGCAGAGTAGTCTAAAAGAGGAATGGTCCTTTTGGAGGGAACTGATTTCCCTCATAGGAAGGTATCAAGCACAGACTTAGTAATTGCTTAATGGAGACATTGGAGAAAGGATTCTGGGTCAGGGACAGTTTCAAAATTTCCTTCACATTGTTATATTCCATCATGCTGTAATGTTGTGACTTGAAATTTTAAATCAAAATTAAGAAGCATTTATTCATTACCTTCACTGTGTAAGCCACGTATAGTTGTTTGATATACAAAAGTAAAGGAGGAGAAATTCCTGCTCTGAAGGAACTTAAATCATCATGCCACTCTTCTTTATTTTCCCTTTAGATCAGCAGTGGCCCATTTGATCTTCTCCTGACTGATAAGGTCCAGTATCCACATGTCTGTCAGATGGGCAGCAGGTAATCCACTCTTCACCTGGCATTCATCCAACTGATGCTCCATTTTGGCTGGACTTGGGTGGGGCTGGTTCTTTCTGATAATGAGAGAGGGGAAAATTTCTTCAGTGATCTGAAAGAGGAGATGGACAGGAATAGTCTGTGTGTAGCTTTTAAGGAAAGAGTGTCCCCAAACTTTAGAAGTGGAGAAGATTTTGAACTCACTTCTAGGACCATTGCATCCTCATCAAATGTGATCTTCATCTATGGAGATACAGACTCCCTTCAGGAACTTTCTTCTGTATTGGTTCATTTTGTACTTTATGGGAAGATGTTGGTCACCACCTCTTCTTGGGATTTTTCTGATGATTCTAGTTTTGAAATGTTTAGCCATTTCCATGGTACAATAATATTTTCTCATACCAAGATGGAGATTCCTGGTTTCACTGATTTTGTAAGAAGTCTGAATCCCAGGGTGAATCCTGAGGATATTTTCCTAAAGACTGTCTGGGAATTAGTTTTTAATTGTAGACTTTCAGAAAAAAATCATGCAGAAATGACATATTCTTTGTGCCCAGAAGGCATTCCCTTGACAAATTTACCTTCTATTAATTTTCACATGATCATAATGGAACTCAGTTTTAATGTTTACAACGCAGTGTATTTAGTGGCCCATGCTCTCCATCAAATACTCCAGACTGAGGCAAAAGACATATCAGAACTTGGAAGTAACCCAGATCTTTCTTGGAAGGTAACATTTTTTTCCAATTATTGGGCTTAGCATAGGGTACTTACAACATTCTGTTGCTAGTTATCTGTTGAATAGATGATGCAGTAATGACTTGAGACTTCAATATGATTGCTTCGTTCCTAATAGTTTTCCTTTTTAATTGTGATTGCATTGAATTCTGGGTGAAATGATGAAATTGCCTCAGATAAGAGATTTATTTCAAATCTGAAATAACAACCGTGATGAAGTTGTTGGTGTTCTTCTGGGTATAGGTCTATGTGGTCAGAGAGTTTCACTAAATCTGTCCCAATTTAGGGCCTTTACAGTGGCCTGGGTGATGACAATGCAAATGTCAAGGTGCTTTGTGAGATTTCTACTTGATCAATTTTATTTTAACTTCTATCAACCCCTATAGCTAAGCAGCAGAGTTCATATCTGTGCCTGCATATATTTGCTTCAATGATGCAGTCTTTTTTTTTTTTAATGTACAGCAACCCATTACTAGAAATTGTTTCCTAGATATGAGTCTTAGAGCTTGAAGGAACTACTTGCTGTGGTGGAAATGTTTGGAAACTGGGAATATAGAGAATGTTAATAACCTAGTAAAGTTTATAATAGAAGAGAGAACATGTGGGTACAGAATGATCAGCAGTCTAGATTTGGAGAGAGAATATTTCAAACACCTCAGTGAGAACATTTCTGTGGTCTGAAGTTTTATGGAATCAGTCATCAAACAATAGATAAGAAGTTCCAAGATAGTAATTCAGTGGTCAAAAAGAGAAATGATACCAATGAGGAAGAAAAATAAGACTTGTTTGTAAAGTCAATGATGAGGCACCAAAAATTCAACCACCAGTTCAGATGAATACATCATATATGTGGGAGCAGGAAGAAGGATAATGTAACAGATTACCAATGGAAAAAAAAAGCAAGAATGAAATATTCCTATACAGATAGTGCCAAGAGAACCAAACATCAGAATTATCTGACTTTGGTGAGAAAATGAGGTTAATAAAAAAAGTAATTATTTTTTACTTTTTGCAGTTTTAGATTGCTTGAAAGTGGATGATTAGAGATGAGAACACAGCTCTGAGTGTATGGAAAAATGATCATTGACAATATAAAATGCCTGCTCGATTGTTATTTCTTCATTTTATCTTACACTCAGAGTGAGTTTTGCAGTAGAATACAGAAATAAAAAAACTAGAAAAAGGATTGTTTGGTCTGGGTGTGAATCACATAATACGATTCCTCTAACCAATCTCTCAACAAAATGAGCTTAGTAAATGGACTGGTAGAAGTTAGATCAAGGCAAAGATTAATGCAGCTCAAGGGCTGAGAATTCGATCACTTGAGTTTAATTTCTGAGGACACTTGAGTGTTTGTGTCTGTGCTCATAAATCAGAGGGAGAAGAGCCTTCCTTTTGTGAAATGGCTGTTTTATTGTTTTATTTTTGTTTGTTTGTTTGTTTGCTTTTCCTCTTTTAAGAACCAGATAACTCTGGTAATTGACTTAGTGCTGGGTCTAGAGAGTCATGAAGACCTCAACTAATATCTGGCCTCAGACAATAACTATGTAATCTTGGCAAGTCACTTAATCTCTATTTGTCTCAGTTTTTTCTACTCTACTTTGATGACAATACCTCTACCTAAATCTGAGTTTGTTATGAGGATAAAAGAAAGTTATATTTGTAAATTACCTAGCACAGACTCTGGAATATAGTAAGAACTATATAAGTGCTTATGTTACTAAAAAAAAAAAAAGATAATTAATCTTATCATGATTATCTTTTATAAAATAGAAATTTTAAAACATGTAATTATATAACATACATAATGAAAAATACATTCTAAAATGTACAGTTATATAATAATAATGAAATGAATGTCATTTTTCTACTACTTTTACTACTACTACTACTACTACTACTACTACTATTACTACTACTACTACTACTACTACTACTACTACTACTACTACTACAACTACTACTACTACTACTTCTACTACTTCATCTATTACTACTACTATGACCAGTAGGGAAACTACTACAGGTACTACTTTGATGACTACTACTAATATTACCTATAGGAGAGCGCACTTGCCTTTGAATCCTGGCACACTACTGGAAGAGGTTTTTTTGGTTGTTGTTGTTGTTATCAAACAATTCTTGATTTATTGTTTTGTTGATTATCCAGAAAGAAAGATTATCTACTAACAAAGTGATGTTTAAAAAAAAGTGTCAATAATGTTCATTAAACTTATGAGTTTTGACATTTTAGAGAAAGCTGCTGGCTTATTGACGGATGGCTTTTTCTGGCCAGCAATCCACATGCCTCACCAGTGAGACAGACATTTCCACCTGATTTTGTAAGTTGTCTTGGGCTGAAAAATTGTTTCATTCCTTCCTTTTGTTGGTTCTACTACTCTATAATTTATTTTTGAAGCATTACTTTCGTGTTGCTTTGTGCGGAATTTCCTGACTTTCCTTTGTCATCTTGTTTTTGCTCCTAATTCTATTTTTTTCTTCTGTTTTTTAAGTTGCTGTTTCTCCTGTTATTTTGTGACTCTTTGACCAAGTTGTTTTTCTTGTATCGCATTCATTTTTCCCCAAGTTTTCCTCTTCCACTCTTATTTCTTTCTTTAGCTATTTCAGGAATTCTTGTTATGGTTACGTGTAATTTGAATTTTCCTGTTTAGACATTGCTGTCTCTTTTGGAGTTTGTGTCATGGTCTTTATTGCCATGATTAGAGTTTTTTAAGGTCAGATTCTTTTTGTTGTTGTCGTTTGCTCATTTTCCAAGACTGTTTCTTGATTGTGAACTTTATCTTAAAGTTGAGCTGTGGTTTTAGGGTAAGTATAGGGGTATTGTCTCAAGTGTTATTTCTTTTCATGCAGTTCTTTTAAGAGCCAATTCTGGGGGTCTACATGATATTGGTGTTTCTAAGAAAGTGTGTAAGAGGCTTTTGAGAGTCTCTCGGACAGCAAGGACATCGAATGAGTCAAAAACCAAATATTTTCCAGGGACAAGTGTATTGACTGCTCTCTTTGTCTGTGATTTCATCTTTACCTAAGAAGCAACTCTACTCTTCTGCAATTGCGAGGAAAAACACTACCCTCTGCCTTTGACCTGTGCACAGCTCCCTGCTCCTCCACAGCCTCAGGAACTAGTACTTTTCTCTGCCCTGGAAAATCTTTTGTCTGACTTCCTGAAGCTGCTGCAGCTACTGTTGCAGCTGCCTCCAATGCCAACTGCTTTTATTTTTTACAATGTTCCCTCTGGTTTAGACCCCAACAAAATGTCACAGACCTCTGCTTCCAACCTTGTAAGTTGTCTTGGACTGAGAAAATGTCTCATCATGACTTTTTTGTTGGCTATGCTGCTCCAGAATTTGATCTGATGCATATTTGGAGGAGAACATAGAGAGAGGTCAACCGGGTTGCTGCCTGTACCCTGCCGTTCTGCCTATGCCTGATAAATAATTTTAATAAGCTAATTTCAATGACTTTCTATTTAGCCAGGATATTTAAAGATTATCTACTGTCTCTTCTCCATTTTCTTCATTACCTTGGACTTTGTTTGTGATGTTCGTTTACAGAGGACACTAAATATTTCAACCATGTTCCCTTTTTTTTCCCCTTCAAGGTTCTTTCCCCCCCGCCTTATCTCTTCCTGGCCCATGTTCTGATCAATTTTGTGTGTACTCTCTTTATACTTTTCTGCCACTTTAAAGGGGACATAATGACCCTCCCCCTTACAAATTACTTCTTAATATTTTGATTGTTGGCTTCCATGAAATTTACTAAAGACACTTTCTCTCAGTGATGCCCGAGGTTTTTCTTTTGTTTTTCTTTTGTTTTTGTTTTTGTAAGCTTTGCCCCATTTTCTGGGATTTCTGGAATTCTCAGCTATTATTTACTTAAATATACATGTATACACACATACACAAATGTGCAAAAATACACTCATATATTTAGTTTGGCTAGATAGGAAATTTTGTATCGAAAGCTAAGTGCATCTGAATTTCCCTGTATTATATTTTATTTATTTTTCTTATTTACGCTTCTGGATTAGAAAATTTGTAAGGTATAATTCAGCTTTCTTCTATGTATTTCTGCTTCATTTTGTACAACAAGGGAAAACTTGCCTATTATTCCAATTTTCTTTTGATTTCCTACTTTATCTTTTCTATCCCCTATGATGAAGGTGGCATTGTTTTTTCTTTTTCTTTTTTTTGGGGGGGTGGGGTGTTATTTGAAGATGTTGTGGGTCGTCATAGAACCAACAACATTGGCTTGTTTGGCATCAGTGGGTGAAGCATAGACGTGTTTTATTATGATGCTTAGTGATTTGCCTTGGATTCCAATGGATATCATTCTGAACATTTTTAGATGATACTGAATACTGCTTTTTCTCGCCTTTTCTTTTTTCTTTTCTTTTCTTTTTAACTATAAAGGCTACTCCATTTTTTCTAAGAGATCCTTACCCATATTAGTACATGTGATAATTATCTGAATTAAACTTGCTAAAATAGGTCTGTGTAGTCAAAGCTATGTGTTTTTTTTTTCAGTAGCAATGTATATCTGTGAGTTTTAGAGTATAAGGAACGCTGAGTGTTTCAGAATAGGTGTTTTTGAATTATGATTATGGAAAAGACTTTTGAGGTCTCTTGGACAGCAAGGACATCAACTGAATCAATAAATAAAGAAATTGATGTAGACTGTTCACTGGAAGGTGAAGTCTTGACACTGAAGCTTAAAAACTTTGTCCAAGTAATGAGAAGACAGGAGTCATTGGAGAAGCCCCTGATGTTAGAAAAGATTGAAAGTAAATGGCTGAGATGACAATGGCTGAACAACAAAGTTATGTTATTATTTCTGGCCTGTTAGATTCTTTCTTTTTCCCCTAAAATATTGAAATATTACCACAAAATTTCACAGTGGGAATAATGTAGACTTCAATTCTGTTTTCATCTTTCTCGTTCTACATTTTCAATCTCTCTCTGAAATTCTCTTGGATATATTCCATTAAATGTGACATCCAGATACTTTGTATCCAAACTAGTAATTTTATTGAAATCTCTACTCCTCAAATCTTCCTCAAATTGCCTTACTGTTTCATCCCCTTATAGTTTATTATTATGAAATTTCTTTCATAATTTTTTCAACTGAAATTTTCTCCTTCCTATTTGTTTTGCGTCACTGAATTTTCTAAACTGTTTACACTCAATCATTTCTATTTCCTTTTCCTTCTTTACCTTGAATTGCATCACTATGCAATTGTCCTTTGTTCGAAGTTCACCTTACCTACCACATCAAAGACCTACATTGGATATTTTTTTTTCTATTAAAGAGAATTTTGTACAAGGAGTAAAATTTCCGCTAAAAATCAGTACATCAGTACAAATTTCTTAAGCAGCCACTATGCGCTAGGAAATGTGGAAAGTTCTAGGGATGCAAAGAAAGGCAAAGAAAGTTCCACTTGTTGAGGATCGCACAATCTAATGGGGAAGAAATGGTAAGCTTCTGCTTGTAGAAGGTACTGAGTCCTCTGTGATGACAGGCTTCAGAAAAGAACTTGGAATGCAAAACATCAGAGATATGTGGAAGAAATTCCTGATTTGGTGAAAGGAAAACGAAATGGATTTGGGGGTAAATGCAATATCTCTCACATAATGATTTGATGACTTTTTTATACTTCCATATTCCATGGTTTGCTACAGAAAAGGAGAAAAAGAGAGCAGAACTCTAAGAGGAACTCAAGAAGAAGAATTTGAAGAAAAAAGAGAATAACAAATTTTCAAAGCTTTAATTCAGAGCCTATTTTGTGTTGATAATCAAGCCTGGGACATGGGCATACACCTTTCCTTCCCTGAGGATTAAGAAATTCTTGTCTTCTCCTTCAGCTCCCCCGCTTCATCAATTGCATCAGTCCAGTAACTAGTGTCAGTGATGAGTCATGTGGGGATCGAGTCATGCTGGCTGCTGAGACATATGATATCCTGAATTTTAAAGCCTTCCCTGGTCAGATTCAAACAATGGTGAAAGTGGGTGAAGTTATCTCTCATGGTCAGATATTCAGCATTAATGAAGAAGACATAGATTGGCCAGAAGATTTCTCTCAGGTAAATGATAAGTGAGTAATCAGAACTTTAACACGTTGCCTATTCAGTGTCCTAGACATTGTTGTTTCTACATTGGCACCAGGAGGTTTCCCATAGACACCAGCCATGACCATGACAGGGTATTAGCATTTACTTAGTCTTCTTTTATGCTGAGTAAGACAGAGCTCTCGTTTCCTTTCTTCAATCCTACTTTCAAATTCTTTCCAGCTAAGTAGCGTAATGGTTTTTATTGTTCATACAAAGAAAATTAGGAAATATTCCAAATCAAGATGTCAAATGTGAAGAATATCAATGAAGAGGAAAGTAAGTTTTTTCACCCAAAAGAGACCTTTGCACCAAAGACTACCCAATATCTGGGATCTTACAACTACACAAATAATTTATCCTGAGGAGTATTCTGGGAAGATGGCAGAGTAGGACTGAAAATCCCAAGCACTCAAGATTTCCTCCAGCAAAAGAGATGAAATTGCACCTTAGGGTGAACATAGAGCTGTAAAAATAAATAAGAATTGGGGCAGAACTAGGGTCCTCTTGCAACAATTGGAGAAGAAAAATCCTTGCATGAGGTTTGGTTCCTGTGAAGAGTAAACATCTCAGGGCTATGTCTGCTTAAACAAGTGTCAAATGCTGGGCTTAGCTGGGCTGGGAGGCTGCCTTGGCCACAGCCACAGGAAACTTTAGGTGTTTAGATATATCAAAATGAGAAGATAAGGAAGGGATCCTTGGGTGGGAGGGTAGATTAATAGGAGAGCAAGGTAGAGTGGACAAGTGAAGTAGAGGAGTCTGGAGGGATAGGAAACAAAAGATAAGCAAAACATAAAAACGAAGATCAGGAATAGAATTTGTTAGGGAAAGTATATGTCTATGTATGCATGTATATATTTGTAAAAATATACATGTATGAATATATATATGTATGTGTGTATATGTGTGTGTGTATGTGTATACATATATAATCTCTTTTAGTTGTAGCCTTTGAAGGGGGCAGAGAAATAAAAGAACTAAGTAAAAAGAGTAAAGCAGAGAACAAAAGCAAACTTACAAGAAAGCAAAGATGAACAGCTCTCAACACAACATGTAATATTTATTATATAGGCTTTCTTGAAATAGAAATTTATCGCTATATATTTTGAATACTCACATTTTGCTGGGCACATGGCATGCTTTTTTTCTTTTCTTATTTTGTATTAAAGTTTTAATGTTGAAGTTTATAATGTTTCTTTTTATTTTACTACTGTGTATTTAAATTTTAGTATTTAAGTCTAAAATTAATGATGATAATAATAATAATAATAATAATTTATCCTTAGTCTGTGGTCCCAAGAAGGATGATGACTTTTAGAAATTCTTAATTTAAATGTTGTGGTTATGTCTTCTGCTAATGTCAAAAATATGTAGTTTCATTTGTCTCTGTGATTTAACAAATCCTAACCCAGCCCCAACAGTGGTCCCCAGAGGAGGCTCCAAATGCCAGCTCAAGAATAAGTTTAGCCAATTAAATCATTTGATTCTTAAATTAAATTAACTGTTTAATTAGTTTATTATAGTGCATACTTTTAAAAGTCATGATTCTTTGAATCACTCAGGATATTTTATGAAAATACAAAAAAAAGATCTTTTGGGGGAAAATAAGTATTTCCCTTTATGAGGTCAATGAAGTATTTCAGCGTTACATGGCCAAAAATGGATCGTAGTTTAGAATTCTACTCCTACTCTTGGGGGAAAAACAAGCCAGTCAGACATTACAGTTAAAAAGATAATGAAAGAGCTTTATTTTGCCTAGTGGAGAATCTGTACAGATATGTTGGGGAAAAGATGATCTGGAGTGAAAGGTGGAAATACGAGAAGAAAGTGTCCGTTGAAAAGTAGATCATCCTTACACTGAAGAATTGAAAATTCTTTATTCTAAATGTCTTCCATAGGAGAGGTCTAAAGTCATGGTCACCTCATTGCATCTATCTTTCATCAGTCATTCTTACTGTGCCATTTTCTCTCTTTCTTTGGTGGAAACACAGACTCCAGCTTCCACGTGCACTCTGAGCTGTGGCCCTGGATTCAAGAAGACAGTGCATGAAGGCCAGCCCATCTGCTGCTTTGATTGCACCCTATGCCCTGAAGGGCAGATTTCCAATCAGACAGGTGGGTTTTTATGAACAGTCCTTCTCCCAAAGCAATAGATACCTTTTTTGTTGTTGTTCTTTTTAATCTTACCCAGAAGTGACTTTTACTTACCAAAATAATATTTTTGAATTAAAATAAAACTGCATTTATTCAATCACTTTCAGTCACTGGAATTGATCTCCCGTAACTGTTAGGAGCATCCGCTTGTTCACCATATCAAAAATCTATCCAAACAGAACCCACCAGTATTTTACCACTACTGCAGCCCTTAATGCTTCCCCATCTTTATCATGTAATTGTAAACTTCCCCACTCCCGCAGGAAAGCTTAATCTAAAACTTCCACATTTTTAAAGAAAAATATTAAGGATCTAAGACCCAAAATTTAAACATTACTTAAGCACACATGAATTTGGATTGAGAGTAAGCATATAGCTTCTTGAGATAGTCTTCATGAAAACATCTCTTGGTGAAAGTTTAACCAGAGTACTCTAGAGAGATTTTTGTTATTGTTGTCGTTGTTTTGTTTTCTTTTAAAGGCTATTTTCCTGAGGCTGATGTTCTGACTCAACTAAGCTTAGCTCACAAAAAATATTGGATAAACATCTGACACTCCCCCCACCCTGCCCCAATCCCTCTGCATTTGAGGTCCAGTGTCAAAGCCGGTGAGGTCTTGTCCTGATTTGTTATATAATTGGCATGCATTGTTTTGTAAACAGATTTGTTGAAAAACTTGACCTTTTTTTTTTCCCAATCAGTTAATCTTTCACTGAATACAAGGTCCTGTCTCCATTTGTTAGCTCTCCCCCATTCAGGTATTGCACTCACTCCATACTTCTGCATCTTGGAATCCTTGGATTTTAATTTTCAATTTTATTACAATGTTATGATCAAGCCAGGGGCATAGACTATTTCTTCAGTTATTTAAATTGTTGTTAATTTTTTTAAGGAACTTTTAATAATTGAATCATTACAGAATTTTAAATAGCTCCATAGATATTCTGATATTTTATGCACTTTTGCAGTTTTTGGAATGAGATTTCCTTTTCTCTTATAACCTCTTGGATTATTTCATTATATAAAATGAAAGAGCTTATAAGTAGTTTACTTGATGATTCTATTAACTTTCCCAGGTACATCTTTGCTGATTCCCTAGGATTTTCTAAGTAAACAATCATGTCATTCAAAAATAGGCATAGTTGTACATCTTTTTCTATCTTTATGTTTTAATTTCTCTCATTTTAATACTCTTAATACCCTTCCTGGCACAATACTAATTAATAAGGAGGAGATATGTCATCTTACCTTTATTCCTATACTTATGGGGAAAGATACTAGTGTATAACTTTGCATATAATGTTCGCTTTTTAAAGACATATTATTATGATATAAAATGTCCATCTTTACATTTTTTGTAGTGTTTTAAGAATAAGTATTTATTTTGTTAAAGGATTTTTCTGCATGTGATGAGTTTTTTTTTAACTTTTGGATATTTTAAATTTAATGTCAGTTTTTCTAATGTTGAACTATTCTTATATCTCTAATATATATCCAGCTTGCAGAAGGTGAATTATATCTTGAGTGAATCACTGTAGACTATTTGATAGGAATTTGTTTAATTTTCTTTGGATTTGTCCCAAACTCATAACTGTAAATAAACCCTAAAATTAATGATTGTACAATTTATGAATAGTTCAACAAACACTAAAAGAAATATACAGGTATGTATAATATATACAAAACAGGCCCTATGAGAGCAATAGTCCTTCAGGCTGGAGTAATGCCTATACACAAAATAATATAATAATAATAATAAGAATAAGAATAATGAATGGAAGACAGAAAGGAGACAGTTTCGAAATCTTTACTCTCCTGTGGAAACTAGGGAACCACTGTCATGGATGCATAATATATTTTCTTATGTAAAAAAATACAAATATTATGGAAATTACTTTATTTGAAGAATGTTTGATTTGAATAAACAGAATCATGTACCAAAATAATCCAGAATATTTGTAGTTATAACCTTGCACGTAAAGAAACATTTTAAAAGGTCTTTCTATCTAATTTATTATGAAGTTGTAACCTTTATCTATGGGGAAAAAAAAGAAAGAATTACTGGTTTCAATGCGTCATTTCTATTCTGAAAATATAGGAATATCCATAAATTGATACCTTAGGGCTCGTTGTAGGTGGTTTAATATTGGAATGGATAATAGACAGTTTATTTTTTTTTAGTAAACACATGATAAGGAGTAGATAATGTCACCATATGTTTCTATCCATTTGTGGTGCTATGAAGATACTGAAATATATGTTTATCTTATGTATCCTCTAGAAATCTTATCCTTCTCACTTAGATGGAGGAGTGCAAAATGAGATTGAGGACAATGTACAATGACTTACACTGTGCTTTACTGGAAATAGAAAATTATGACCTATGTGGAATATAGTGAGATTCTTTCTTTCTTTTTTTTGTTTGCAGATGCAGAGCAATGTCTGCAGTGCCCAAGCAAGGACAGGGACAGATGCATTGGTAAGACTGTGACCTTCCTGGCCTATGAAGAACCTCTTGGAATGACTCTGGCCTGTGCAGCTCTCTGCTTCTCCCTCCTCACTTCTCTGCTCCTTGCAGTCTTTCTGAAGCACAGAGACACTCCCATAGTCAAAGCTAATAACCGCAGTCTCAGCTACACTCTTCTGGTCTCCCTCAGCCTCTGCTTCCTCTGCTCCTTGCTTTTCCTTGGTTGTCCTAACACTGCTACTTGTCTCCTGCGACAAACCATATTTGCAATTGTGTTTACAGTGGCCATTGCCTCCATTTTAGCTAAAACCATCACTGTGGTTCTGGCCTTCAAGGCCACAAAGCCAGGCAGCAAGCTCAGGCTGGGCTCTACAGCATCTTATGCTCTTATTGTTATCTGTACTCTAATCTAAATTTGTCTCTGTGGCATCTGGCTTGGGACATACCCCCCATTCCTGGAGATGGACATACACACTGAGACTGGCTTCATTGTCATTCAGTGCAATGAGGGCTCCATCCTTACCTTCTATTGTGTCCTGGGCTATATGGCCTTGTTGGCCTTGGGGAGCTTCACCATGGCCTTCTTGGCCAGGATTCTGCCAGACACTTTCAATGAAGCCAAGTTCCTGACATTCAGCATGCTTGTGTTCTGCAGTGTCTGGATATCCTTCCTGCCCACATATCAGAGCACCAAGGGCAAGGCCATGGTGGCCGTGGAAGTGTTTTCCATCTTGGCCTCCAGTGCTGGGATTCTCACTTGCATCTTTGCTCCCAAGTGCTATGTGATTCTTCTGAGGTCAGACAGAAATACCCTGGAGATATTGAAAAAGAAGGCCAATCCCTGAGAAGCCAGATCTCAAACTCTTCTTCACCAATCACAGTAGATAACTCCTTTCCTGCTATAGTCCTAATAACACATTTTAAATATACCTAGCTCATGTATCTTCAATTTTCTGTTAACAAATTCTCCTTCTGTTTCATTTGAATCTAATAGCATTTTGAAATAAATCATAGCATTTATGAAAAGACGGGGAATTAGATCAGTTCTTGTTTTGAAATACCTTACATATGGCAGACACAATATATAAATAATGATTTAAAATAATAGTAGTGAAAAAATGAATTTAAAGATATGAGTACCTGGTTTCCAATTCTAGCTTTTTATAAGTCCATCCAGCATTCTGAGTCACTGATTTCTTCTTTATAAAATTCAAAATATAATTTCCCCAATTTGTATATCTCAGTTGTATCAGTTAATACATTTATCAAATATTATATGAATTGAATGTATCCATGAGAGAAAATTTTCTGGAGAATGTTTAAGACCTAGTCCATTTGCTGAGTCACCTAAGCACATATACCAGAAATTATCATGCTTTTCATTCCTTCCATAAATTATGTAATTGTAAAATTATGGTCTGATCTAGAAAACTTTTGGCAAAGCCTTAGTGTTCCCTTCTAACACTTTTTAGCAATTATACTTTGGATATAACAGTAGTGTCATACAACATAATAAAAATGAGCAATTAGTCATGCATGAGTTGTTATTTTTTTTTCAGGAATCTACTTCAATTGGGATTATTTTAGGTCATATTATTTATTCATCCCATTCCACATTACTTTTTTTGGGGGCAGCATTTTATCATTTGTTTATTTCTGACATATTTGAGTGTTTCTCTTTGTTCAGAATCTTTGATGGAAAATTGATTGATGAAATTCTGAGACCTCCTCTAAGTATTAGATGGGGTACTGGATGTATTTTATTTTGAGAATTCATTAATGTTTGTGCAATAAAGAAAAGGTAAAAATATCACACCTTACATTTCTGTCCTTTTCTTTCCTTTTTATTTAAAGGATGTTCAGTCTCAAGATAGGAGAAAAACCACAGGATGATAGTAGTGATATTTTCAAGGATAAATTTCTTCCAGAACAAATAATATAAAGGAAAAATTTTAAAAAATCAAATACAAGAAAGACAAAAAGTCAAGAAGTAGCCCCTAAATAAGACTTGCAGAAAATGTGTCTGAAGCTAGTGTCCCCAACCCAACACTGCAGACATTCTCATAACTCATGGCTTTCATCGGTTCTCACAGTGCATTCAAAAGTATACTCCAATTCTATGACTCATCTGGCTTCTTCAAATCTAGAAGCTTGGTGCTCAGTCCTTTGATTTCCTTGGCAGGGGTGAATGTTAGGTGAGGGGATCTGCTCACTTCCAGGGTAAGTGGAGGACATGCCATACTATATGGTTACACTCCTGGTGTCTCCTTTTCCAGATTCCCTTTTCTAAACCAGAAAATCCTCTAGACCCATGAGTCTGGGACAAATTCACATTCCTCACTTTCAGATTAAAGCCCATACAATTTCCCATCCCCATGTCAGTGAGTTAAGGATAATAAATCAAGGTCATCCCAAGGACCAAGAAGAAGACAAGATGTGTCTATTATTTTTTGCAGATGATATGATATAGTATCTAAGAAAGCTTAGAGAGTCAACTTAAAAATGAATTGAAATAATTAATGACTTCAGTAAAGTAGCAGCATATACAACAAACCCATACAACTTCTTAGCATTTCTGTCTCTTACCAACCAAATAAAACAGGAAGCCCCAGAAATAGCAATTCCTGGGGATATGCCTACAGACAGTATAAAATATTTATGAGTCTATCTGATAAGATACAGGAATTACATGGACAGTATGAGAAATCCATTCACGCAAATATGGGAAGAGCTGAATAATTGGATAAATATTAATTGCTCATGGTTTGGCTGTTCCAGTATAACCAAATGAAAATAATCCTTAAGTCAATATATTTAATCTGTGGCATTATCCAGTTCTATAAAGTAATTATTTGGTACTTTGATTAATATAACATTAAATAAGGAAATGACAACATTATGGAAGTCATTTTACAGATTTATTGCTTTACCAGACATTCAAATGAGTACTTAACAGAACCTAATAATATTTTAACTAAATTAGTTTGAAGAAAAAACTGATTTAGTATATTAAGGGAAATAAGGAATTAAATAATAAGATGAAAGGGAAGGAAACGCACTCAAATCATATTATAAACATAAGTCATGTAAATCATTTGATATTTGTTAGAAATAAAAATGTAAAACAATGGAATAGGGAAAGGGAGAATCATAAACCATTGAACTCAGTAAAACTTAGGTTTTGACAGTTGGACTTTAAGGAAAGGTGAGTACTCCAAATGTGACCCTTTTGAATTGTGGTGCTAAAGAAGACTTTTGAGAATCCCTTGGACAAGAAAGAGATCAAATATGTCAATTCTTCAAGAAATTAATGTAGGCTAATCACTGGAAGGTCAAACACTTAAATTGAAGCTTAAGAACTTTGTGCACATAATGATAAGATGGGACTTACTGAAAACACCTTGATGTTGGAAAAGATTGAAGAGAAAAGGAAAAGGAGATGGCAGAGGCTGAGATAGATAGATAGTGTTGTGGAAATAAAAAACAAGATCTTGGATAGACTTTGAGAGATAGTGGAACATAAAAGGACTTGGCGGGCTATGATCCATTGGGTCACAAAGAGTCAGAGACAACTACACAACAAGAACAACAACATCATGGACAAAGAAATCAAGAAAATATTATCAAATTTCCTAAGGAAAAATATCCCCAAGACTGGATGCACTTATAAGTGAATTCTATCAAACTTTTCGGGAATGATTTACTGAAATACTGTATAAAGTAATTGAAAAAAAAATAGATTAACTAAGGAGTCATAGCAAATATACTTTATGACCCATACATAGTCATATGAGAAAAGGGGAAAGGAGAAAGAAAAGCATAAACGGGAGGGAAAGGATGGAGAGAATGACACATATAGTAATCATAATTACGAATGTGATATATGAATGTAATGGAATACTCTTGTGCTATAAGAAATGATGAACAGGCAGATTTCCGAAAAGCCTGGAAAGATTTGTATGATTTGATTCTGAATGAAATGAGAAGAACCAGGAGAATGTTGTACACAGTAACAGCCACACTGTGTGATGACTAATATGGACATACTTACTTCTCAGCAATACAAGGATCTCCAAAGACTTCATGATGGAAAATGCTATCCACATCCAAAGAAAGAACTATGGAGTCTGAACGCAGATTGAGGCATACTATTTCCTATTTTTTTCTTCTGTTGTCTTTTGTTTCATCTTTCTGGTGGTTCCTCCTATTAGTTCTATTTCTTACAATATCACTGATGTGAAAATATGTTTAATAGGAATGTATATGTATAACCTATATCAGATTGTGTGCTGTCTTGGGGAGGGAGGTAAGGAGGTAAGTAGAGAAAAATTTAAAACTGAAAAGCTTATGAAAGTGATTGTTGATAAATCAAAATAAATTAATAAAAAAGGGAAAAAAATTAAAAAATTTAAAAAATGAGAAATGGAATGTTTTCAGAAAAAAAAAAGGGAATTCTTATTAAGTTAGATTTTGCTCACCTGCTGAGTGGGGACCACAGTTTGAAGCTTCACTCTTTCCCTGTTATTGTTTTCAGGGCTAATGTTGGGTGTCTGGAGGTTTTTCATGATTCCAAGCTTTGATCATGGGAGAGGTAGGCCCTTGGGATTTTGATCGGTGCTCTGTTTCTTACCCAGGTGGAGCCTCTGCTCAGTAGCAGGCCCAAGTACTAGCTCACCTTTTTGTCCTGTAACTGTGATCAATTCACTTGCTCATTTGCCCCTACAAAAACTTTTCACATCCTCAAAATGGGATTTCATATGTGCTGCCACTGCTTATTTGCTCCATCCCAAGACCTGCTCCTGGTTTGCTGGGACTGGGGCTGTGTGCGAGACCTGCACTAGATTGCACTCCACTGTTACCCAGATGTGACCGACTCGTCCTGCTGAACTTTCAAGTTGTCTTTGGTGTCTATGGGCTGAGAGGTCTGGAAATGGCCACTGCAGCCAGTGATCCAGTTGCCTTGTGGCCTGCTCCTGCTTTGCTGGGGCCTGGTCTACACTGGTGCTGCCTCTGCTGCACTGTGCTTTTCTATCTCCAAGGTGCAGCAGACCTTTCCTGCCAACCTGAAGTTGTCTTGGGCTGTGAATTTCTTTCACTTTGTCTTTTTGTGGTTTCTGCTGCTCTAGAATTTGTTTAGAGTCATTTTTAAATCTATTTGGAGGAGTTCAGGGGAGAGCTCAGGCTGGTCCCTGCCTTTACTCAGCCATCTTGACTCAACCGCCTCCTACATTCCTTCTTAATGGCCTGTGGGAGGATTACTCCACTAAGCCCATGGTTTCCACTAGTATGTCACAGACAGACCTGTGAGGTATATAATTTATGAACCTAAAAACACTACTGAGATTCCTATTTTGATTTTTATTACTCATTCATTCACCAATTATTTCATGTGTACTTTCAATGGTCAAAGCGCTTTGGTTAATATTATCAGTGCAAGAAAAATGTAAAATTCATTTCAGTCTGGAAACTCGTGGTCCTAGGCTTTGTCATTATCATTCACACTTTCTGACCCTGTCATTTCACAGTGTCCTTAGACTGATGGGATATTTGGTAATTTTGAGCCACTGAAGACATATGAGAATGGAAGGAGAACACTGGAAGGCCCCTTAAACCAGGCTTGAGAGAGAACTGAAAGTTCTATGGACATCTCAGAACCCTTGGAAGGTGTGAAGACTCCAGGGATTAAAGGTAGGGAAGAAGATTTCCAAACATCTATTTTTTCACTTGAGTTTTTGAAGTTTTCAAGATGAAGGAAGCAAGGGGGCGGAGCCAAGATGGTGGAATGAAAGCAACAGCTTGCTTGAGCTCTCCACCAAACCCCTCCAAATACCTATAAAAATGGCTCTAAACAAAGTATAAAGCAGCAAAACTCACAAAAAGAGAGAGTGAAACAAATTTCCAGCCCAAGACAACCTGGATGATTGATCAGAAAGGCATATCATGCTGGGCTAGGAGCAGAGCACAGTGAGGCATGGGCCCACAGGCTGCAGCAAACTTGGAGCCAGCCTCAGAGGACTAAATTTTGGGCCGCTGTGGTGGTTTCCAGACTCCTCAATCCACGAATGTCAAAGACAACTTAGAAGGTCAGTGGTAAAAGTCTGTTTCTGCGGTGCTGAGAGAGGAAGGCGGAGTCTCAGCTCCATTCCCCAAGAGCCTGGCCCTGAGCAGGGGGCAGCTGCTTCCCAAGCTTCCAGCCCACAGACTGAGCGGGGATTGAGTGGCTGATCAGAGGGGGACTGCAGGGATCTCTCTGCTGGTGATGAGGCAGGAATTTCTCGCTTTGCCCGTGCTTGGATCTGGGTCACAGTTCTGCGTGGCGGTCCTGGGGTGAGGAGAAGTGCTGGCATGGTAGAACTTTTAGTGGCTGTGGACAGGAAACCTTCCTCACAGTTCCAGGACAGAAAGGAGTGCTTGTGGTCACTAATAGACCAGAGCACAGGCCAGGAAAGGAGTAAACACCTCGCCCCTTATCATACCACCTTGCAAGAACTAAAAATTTACAGGTCCCTCCAAGTATCTCTGAAAACAGCTATATAAACCCCCGAAGCTCAGGACAGTACATTCTCCACAATGGAAGCAGACTCCTACCTTAAAGTTTAAAACTCAAGAAATTGTCTGGGATCATGAGCAAGCAGTACAAAAAGAGTCGAACTATATTATCTTAATTGGTGACAAAGAAGATCAAAATATACAACCAGAAGAAGACAACAAAGTCAAAGCTCCTACATCCAAAGCCTCCAAGAAGAATGTGAATCAGTCCCAGGCCTTGGAAGAGCTCAAAGGGATTTTGAGAAACAAGGAAGAGAAATAGAGGAAAAACTGGGAAGACAAATGACAGTGATGCAAGCAAATCACGAAAAAGAAGTCAAGAACTTGCTAAAGGAGACTGAAAAAAATACTGAAGAAAAGAACACCTTAAAAAATAGCCTAACCCAAATGGCAAAAGAGATTCAAAAAGCCAGTGAGGAGAAGAATGCCCTACAAAGCAAAATTGGCCAAATGTAAAAGGAAGTCCAAAAGATAACTGAAGAAAATACTTCCTTAAAAATTACAATAGACAAATTGGAAGCTAGTGATTTTATGAGAAATGAAGACACTGTAAAACAAATCCAAAAGAATGAAAAATTAGAAAACAGTGTGAAATATCTCATTGGAAAAACAGCTGACATGGAAAATAGATCCAGGAGAGAGAATGTAAAAATTATTGGACTATCTGAAAGCCATGATCAAAAAAAGAGCCTAGACATCATCTTTCAAGAAATTATCAAGGAAAACTGCCCTGATATATTAGAACCAGAGGGCAAAATAGAAATTGAAAGAATCCACCGATCTCCTCTCAAAAGAGATCCCCGAAGGAAAACTCCTAGGAATATTGTAGCCAAATTCCAGAGTTCCCAGGTCAAGAAGAAAATATTACAGGCTGCCAGAAACAATTCAAGTACTGTGGAAACGCAATCTGGATAACACAAGATTTAGCAGCTTCTATATTAAAGGACCATGGGCATGGAATATAGTATTCCAGAGGGCAAAGGAGATAAGATTACAACCAAGAATCACCTACCCAGCAAAACTGAATATAATCCTTCAGGGGGGAAAATGGTCATTCAGTGAAATAGAGGATTTTCAAGCATTCTTGATGAAAAGACCAGAGCTGAATAGAAAATTTGATTTTCAAATATAAGACTCAAGTGGAACACAAAGAGCTTTCATGCTCTGGGAAACTGGCTATTGAGATGAGGATTCATAGAAAATTCATAGAAAATCTGTCATTTTCATCTTGACAGGCACCAGAGACAAGTGGAACCTATACATCTTGCCTGTGTTTCAACATCTCCCATGGACTAGAAACTCACTCTAACGATAAAATCCATTCTATTTCCCCATAGCTAAAGTGATTGGGAAGTTATTCCTTATACTGAGCTTATTATCTCTCTGTAATTTTACCCACTTTTTCCTACTTTTGCCTTCTGGAAAAAAACATAGAACCAGTTTGCACTTTCTTTTCATTAAATTGTAAGCTCTTTGTGGGCAGTTAAGGTCTTTTGCCTTTCTTTTTATTCCTAGCATTTAGCACAGATCCTGATGCATATTAGGCACTTAATAAATGTCTATTGACTGACTGATAGTGCTTAAAAAAAAAGATGAAGGAAGCAAGTGCAGAGTTGCTGGTGAAGATGGTCTCCAGAAACCCTCACTGACTCTGGTCAGCATATTTGTTTGCATTTCATCCAAGAGACCTCAAGATGGACTGCCTTTCCATATCCATCTACAAGGAACAAAGAGAATAATATCGAGGAGACAAAAATTCCCCATGAATATTACCTACTCTTTCTAGCTTTGCCTTTGTCCTAAAGAGAGATCTACCCTATGCCTCACATTCTGCTTTCCCAATTGAGAAGGACTGTTTCAAGCTTGAGCATCTATTAGGAAAGAAAAATCTTTAGCAACAGAGAATGTGCCCATAGATTCATGAACAATGACCCACAGTCACCTCACACTATTCATTCCCTGCCTCTTTAGAAATTTGGGATGTTGATTATGAGTTTGGGGAAACCAGGGCTTTCATTCTCTGTATTATTTGTGATCCTGCTTTTGTGGTTTTCTCTCTAGTAGCACATGGGTGATAGTCCTTGTCATGTAGAAAGAGCATCTAGCCCCACATTTAGAAAAGAAAGGAACCTAGTCATAGGGAGCGACTTCTCTTTGTTTCTGAAGATAGAGGAAAAAATTAGCAAGGCATTCTTCAAATATTCTCCACGCTTGAGTGGTCCAAAAGCAAAGTGGTTTTTTGTTTGTTTTTTCTTTTGTTTTTGTTTTTGTTTTCCTGACTGATGAAATAGTCATCCACATATCTGATCGATTGCTTTGTCGGTAGAGTTGTGTTCTATTTAGCCTCACAACTTTAGTAAAAGAAAAAACCTTGGTTTGAAAATTCCTAGAACCTAGTATTCTGGAAACTAATAAGTTGAAAGTGTTTCTTTTTTCAATGCAAGCAGAGAAATAAAGGCTGTCCATATTATAAAAAGTCAGAGATTCATTCACATAGAAGAAAAAATCTTACCCAGTACAAGGATGAGGGAGACACATCAGGGAGGAAATACACTCAAAGTTGAGGTTCAGGTGGCAAAACTATATTTCCTAAGCGTGAGCTGGTTGACAACTGATTATTTCTGCCATATATGGGAGAAAATATTCCTTATCAGACTTGTCTCTGAGAAAGAAGTTCTCAAGGTGGATTACAGATGCTAGGCATGTGTGAGGTTTAGGTAGAGGGAGTTCCTGCATCTTTAACACACTGAGAGGAGAACCGGATATTGACTCTCCTAGGCACCAGAAAAGAAAATGAATTCAGAATACGTCAGTCATTTCCAGGTTTTATCCAATCTTTAAGCCTCATCTGCCTGACAGAAAGTTACTAGTGGAAAAGGATAAAATGCCTTTCTTTGCTTATAAACTTTGATGGGCTTTATAACCACTTAGTCTAAGTGATGTGTAACAGTAAGGTGTTACGGGCTGCACAGCACTTGTAATTTATTTCAGGGGTTCAGATCTGTACCCATAAAGATATGTTCACACTTTTCCTAGTTTATAAATGATTTAATAACGACAATAATCATAAACATACATGCATGTAAATGTGATTGCACATGATTACGTGATGTTAGAAGCAGAGGCTATTAAAAGATAGATAGAGAGATAAAGAAGAAGAAATACATCACCAATCCAAGGAAGCACCAACTCCTGAACGTTTGGCTGGGGGAGTCCTGTATCACAGCCGTCGGGGTCTCAGTTGGGAAAGTCCTTATTGCAGAGCGTGCTCTCAAAGGGAGACTACCCAAGTCGCTTTCCCAAGAAAGACCCTTGTTATCATCCCTACACAAAGAAGGCAGGGAGCCAAGGAATAGGTGATTAATCCTAAGGACCTGAGAGTTTTGGCTGAAACTTGCCATCCTCAGGAACCATCTTTATTATGTCAAAAAATGTCTCAGATCAATACCAGGAACTGGCCAAGTCCCTGGATGTTTACCTCAAGACTTGT